CTCGACACGCACGATCTCCGCAGAGGGTTGCGCCGGACAAAGCCAAGTCGCACTCTCGCCTGCATTTCGCGCCCTCGACACGCACGATCTCCGCAGAGGGCTGCGCCGGCACTGCCCCCGGCCTTAAGAGAGAAAGTTAAGAAGAGCGAGAGGTGAAGATGTGAGATGTAGATGTGAGGATGTGAAGATGAGCAGAGATGTAGATGTGAGGATGTGAAGATGAGCAGAGATGTAGATGTGCAGATGTGAACATGAGATGTAGATGTGTGAAGATGAAGATGAGCAGAGATGTAGATGTGCAGATGTGAAGATGAGCAGAGATATAGGTGAGAATGTGATTGTGCAGAGGTGAAGATGTGAAGATGTAGATGAGGTGTAGTTCTGCAGATGTTTTTTTACGAAGAACCCTTCGCAGGCGCTTTCGGGAGAAAGGGGAGGACGAGAGGGAAAAAGGGGAGGACGAGAGGGAGGGAATTTTGGGAGGGGGTTTAGTAAGGTATATTTCTGTCAGACTCTTGAAGGGGATGGTGATCGATTGGGTGAGAGTGCAGTTCTACAGGCCTACAGGTAAGCATTTCTTTCCTAGAGGTTCAATCTTCACGTTTGTGGAAAGGGTTAAGTAGTGATGGTGATACTGAAGCCTCCCGGCCAGAACAGGAGGAGCCTTCGGAAGCTTCTCCGTTGGCCAACCTGCCTCAAGGACTTACCACATTGGGTGCTTCAAGCATCTATCTGAGACAAAACATGGACACAAGGCAGCACAAATGGATCTTGCACGCACCACGTAAGCAAATTCTTCCGCACACGACACGTTGGGACAGGTCCTTTCGGGTAAAAAGAACACGGTTTGGCCATCATCATGTGGGTGTGTCCTTCAAAAAAAACCAGTTGGACTGGAACATAGATCGACTCAGCCAAACCGAAGCCCATTGGCTTCAAGAACCTCGAGGATCGAAACTCAACAGAACATGTTGATATAACGGTCGACTCTTTGCTTGCAAGAGTAAAACGATCCGCACACCAATTCACGCCAACCCATTCATGTCAACAGGGCCGACCTGCAACCCCCCCGAAGACGGACGTGGGTTGTCTGTGTTCTTCGCGTGGTCTGCCGTCCAGTGGTTCCTCCCTTGCAACGATCCTCATATTGGTCCATGTTGAGGTCCCTGGTATGAGAGTTTTCATTGAAAGAGGCGAAGAACCACGTACGGAGAGTCCAAGCCCATCATAAAGTGGATCAAGAACCAATTGGTTCATATTTATGACCTCTCCCGAAGCAAACACGTTATTTCGGCATTGGAGTGCCGAGACTCCAGATCGCTTTGACCCCTTCTTCCTCACACTTTCACACCAGGAGGCTAAGAGCTCCCAGAGGGACTCCACACGCTCCTGGCCAGGAGGTACTTAGCAAAATGATCAAGATGTCGCTCATATTTACCATACTATTTTAAAGCTTATTCTTCAAAGCATCTATGGGTTTCGATGCCAAGGCAGCTTGGGCGTTTTCCATTTCGACCGAGGATGTCTTTCTCCAGTGCACGGCCCGCCTGAGGCGAACCCCAAAGAACACCCCTGGTTTTCCCCACGGTTGCAATGAACGGAGTACTACACAACTGGTCAACCTACTCCCGGTCTCTTAGGTTTTCAGGTTTGAAACCGCATGGGCACATGAAGCCTCGGCTCCTGCGAGGTGAGGGTCTGGTCACATGTTCAACCGTTCCTGGATGTTCTGCGTCTCTCCCACTGGTTTGTTGCCGCTCCTGCCGTAGGTCCTCTATCTCCTGGCAGGCTCGCAGGCTCGCTTTGGCGCCCGTCGCCCGTCTGTGACAAAGAAGGGACCGGCCCATGTCCTCCCGAGGCCCAGGAGTTCCCTGCGATTCCTCAGCCCACCATGGTTTTGTTGGTCTGAAAAGCCGAGAGACAAAAATGGCTGAGCCTACGGACCGGCTGGACTACAAAACCAGGTAAACCGGTAAACCATATTTTTTGATGGTCTTTGAAGGCTATTGTTACACAGTTACACCGATCAACCACCAAACTTGCGGGATTGGGCCGCCATCGACTCTCAATCCATCGATGGAAGGAACAGCTTTTTTCTAGTGCTTTGCCCTGGCATCTGACCGGGAAAAGATCTCCCAAAAAGCTGGTTCACCGAAAGTGGAAGCCTAGAAAACCCTTCAAGGGAGGAGAGTCGGCGAGATGCTGTGAACCAGGAACATGATGGATCATGGCGGATCATGGCACACGTCCCACTTTTTTGATCCTTCATTCGTTTTGTGACTCTGAGGGCTCCCTCGTGTTCACCCCTTCTCAGCTGGTCTACCAGCCTCAAACTTCTGCAGCCACTCTGCTTGCAGCTCCGTGGTCCTCAGAGACCGCAGGCGAACCGACACGCGATGGCCGGCGCTCCGTAGTTCTACGCGACGGGCGCGTTCCGTTCCCAGGTTCAGATGGTCTACAGGATGTCTGGATTCTTCACCCATGTTTTGAACACTCCGGTGATGTTTTGAACACCTTTGCGCACCGGGACCAACCTGTCAGGTGGCGTTTTTTCGAGAGCCTCTGACATCAAACACGTCCTTCCCTTGGCATCTTTCCTCTTGTCTTGCCATGGCATAACCTCACGAAACGCACCTCCGAAAAAACATCCCCCCTCGCCGTGAAAACCTG